CTAATCCCTAGTCTGTTACCTATTTCATACAATGGAACAACCCAAGAAACACGAATAGAGATAAATATTTAATTACGATTACGATATTATTCAAAATTCATAATACATTATAATAAAATGTTCATTTTTCAAAATTCATAATACATTATAATAAATTTCATCTCAAATGTTCAATTCACTCTTTATCCCAGCCTGAGGAGATGGCCAACCGCATCTAGAAACTGCATTGGGGATTTCACCTCTCTATTCAACTCGTCCTTCAGGCGGCAGAGACGGTTCTCCACCTCTCTATACACTCTCTTCTTGCCTCTTGGAGCTGCTCCAAAATCGAGCTGTAAAACCTTAGCTCGTTCTGCCTGTTCCACCTTCCTGACTACCTCCACAAATCGGTAGATGTTGGGATGTCGGTGAGGGAGACCTCGGTTGAGTCGGTAATGAAAGCCTTCCAGGTTGTTGTTCGTCCTGGGACCTGTTGTACCGTGATGGTTCCACAGTGTTAGGGGGAATCGTGCTCCGTGGTCGACCCACTGAGTGACGATGTAGTCGTTGAAGGCGACAGCTCTTGGTACATCTGGTGTGTTGTCCATTGCGTCAACCCACATGTCCTGGATCTTGTTCTGGGGGAGTAGGGGTAGGCCAGCTGCTCTTCTTATCCACTTGCAGACTTCAGGATCTTCTCGATACGCGACAGCTAGTCCCAGATCCTGGACCTTTCTCCATATCGCCTGGCAGTAATGGAAGAAACATCCCTTCACATCGGCGGTAGGAAACACGACTTGGACAGCACGAATAGCAGCCATCTCAAAGTCTGTCTGGATGCATGACGGGGCAAGTGGTCTGTTTAGTCTCTGTTGAACTTCATCCTTGAGTAGCCTGAAGAGTCTTGAGTAGGTGTCTGTCTGACGGTCGGGGAGTAAGGCGAAGATGAGGGGATAGGTCGTGGCTCCGAGTCTTGCATGGATGATGTACACTTGATTCCACAGTCCAGGGCAGGCAGTGAACGTTCCATTGTCTTTGGCAAAACAGGAATCGTCTTCTGTCTGTGCCGGTACAACGCGGTGCTCATGGTGGGGAAGGATGGCATCATTCCTGTCTCGTCGTTGTTCAAGTTGGAGAGTTCGTTGTTGTAGAGGGTGTGCATCGGGGTTGACTCTTCTCTCGCTCTCTTCCTCAGGGTGCTCATAAACCGGACCTTCTGTCTATCCTCAGGGGCATGGTTATGCTCTGTAGCATTCCTCATCACGGTTCCTACTGTCGTGAGTCTTCCTCTACATGTTGACTTAACACACTTCCAGCGTACGCAAGTCAGTCTCTCGACGTTCTTAGTGTGAAGATAACCATCAAATAGGACTTGGGGCTTTCCTCTCTGTGACATAACAAACTCAACATTGCGAAGACCAGCCATGATGATGTCATGTTAGTTACTTACTTACTTACTTACTTACTTACTTACTTACTTACTTTGGAGATTTAATGTGCGCTTTCCGACTGATGCGTATTTCGCACATGGGCCCGGCCAGGCCATTTAATGTGTTTCCAAAAGGGGCGAAAGTGGTCTGTGCAACCCAAGAGGGGGGTTTAGGGGTTGCTTATATAGAATTTGGGAATTTTGAGATTTGGAATAGATGCCGATGGGGTTGGGGAGGAGAACTAAGGGAGCTGGGTATGGTGGATTTTGTTTGTTTATGTGATTTTGATTTGGTAGATTATTGTGTTTTTAGATGAGTTTTATTAGTTCCGTTTTTATTAAGAATACGCCTAAGGCCTTGAAGTTTTCTAGTTTATTTTGTGGGTTTAGTATTGCTCCTAGAGTGAGAGCCTTGAGGGTGCTGTAATGCGGTTCGATGTGTTAGGTAGTGTGTGCAGTGGATGAGTGCGTGTTCTGGGGTTTGGGCAGTTACCTGTAGTGTATTTTTTTTTTTTTTTTAGGTGGTTATTTAGGTTGGTGTGTCCTGTGAGAATTTTTGGTTTGGTTAGTGGTTTGCTGAGCACATTTTTGATTTGGCTATTTGAGTTTAGATATAGGTTATGCCATTTTTTGTGATTTTTTGCTTGTTTACACTTTTAATTTCTGATTTTGAGATGGGTAAGTTTAAGCTTATTTCTGGGATTTTGAGGGATAGTTTAGCTGCTTTATCGGCGTTTTCATTACCGTATATTCCTACGTGGGCGGGTATCCACAAGAAGGTTATATGTTTGCCTGCCTTAATTAGGTCGTTGGAGCTTTTAAGTATTTGATTTATTAATTTAGGTCGGTTTTTGGTATTTTTGTTTTGGAGGGCTTGCAGTCCACTTAAGGGAGTTGGTAAGTATTAGGATTTTTTTGTGGTTTTTGGATTCTTGATTATGGAGGGCTGAGGCCATGCCCTTTAGTTCTGCCGTGAATATTGATTGGTTGTTTGGGAGTCGGAAGGATTGTGTGGTTTTAGTTGGTTGTGTGGTATGGACTCCGAAACCTGTGTGTTTGGAGGTCGGATCTGAGGATCCGTCCATGTAAATGTGACACCAATTTGGCCAATTTTCGTGTATGTATGCTAGTGTGGTAGTTTTAGCTATGTTTGGGTCGGTTTGTTTATTTATTTGGCTAGCTAGTGTTGTGTCTATTTTGGGTATTTTAAGTTTAGGGGTGAAGATATTTGATTGTTTGCAGTTTTGTTTAAGATTTTTAATTTGGTGTTCATTTAAGGTAGTTTGTTATTCTTTGGGATATTGGGGTAAGTAAGGGGTGTTTACGAGCTAGAGCTTGGTTTTTGGGGCTGATGTTTTGGTTTATTAAGTTTTGGATGAGAGGGTTTGATTGGGATGCGGCCCAGAAATTTAAGCTTAGCTGTTCCCTGCGTAGACTAAGTGGCATTTCTCCTGTTAATGCCTGAAGTGAGGTGTAGGAGGTGCCATGTTGGGTGTGTGTAATCAGTTTGAGAGCCTGATATTGTATTGAGTCAAGTTTTTTAGATAGAGAGTTGTTTAGGATGTTGTATATGGCGCAGCCGTAGTCTAGTTTTGATCTAAGTAGTGATATGTAGAGAGAGAGGAGGGTATCTTTAGAGGCTCCCCAGTTAGAGCCAGTTAGGCATCTTAGGGTGTTTAAGTCTTCACTGCATTTAGTTGTTAGGTTTTGGATGTGAGCATCCCAGATGAGATGTTCATCGAAAATAAGTCCTAAGAATTTGGTTTGTTTTGGAAATTTGATTGTTTGATTGTTTAGCTGGAGGATTGGGGAGGAGGGTTTCATGTTTTTATGTTTGAGTACTATTCCTGTTGTTTTTTCTGAGTTAAGGGAGAAGCCCCATTTGTCAGCCCATGGTTGTATTTTATTAAGAGATTTTTTGAGTAAATTTGGACCATTTTCATGCTTTTAGTGCGGATCCAGAGGGCTCCGTCATCCGCAAATTTTTATGTGTTTACTTTAGGGGATAGGCCCTCGAATAGATCGTTTATCATTATATTGAAGAGGGTGGGGCTGAGGATACTGCCCTGTGGAGTGCCATTTTCTAGGGGACATTGGTTATTTTACGATTGTTTAGGAAGTCCTGGATGTAGTTTATTTATTAGTCATGTTTGTCAGTTTCAAGTATCTATATACTAAACCTAGCCATCTCAACTGTAAATCGTCTCATCTCAGTTTCTCAGTGTAATAATTGTTTCTTCCTATTGTTATTTTTGTAATTTCTAAAAATTGTCTTCTCATCATACATCATTCATTACACTTACATTAATTCTTTCTTTTTTTTAAACTTTCCTTTAAGACCCCTAATCCCCTAAAGCTCTACCCCTTTCATTTCTACTACCTCTACTCCAGACCTTAATCTCTCCTTTAGGTGAGTTCATAATGCCAGACAGGTAAATGCCGCGTGTTGTTTTAACTAATTGTAGGGGAACTGGGTTGTAGGGGAAATGGGATGTAGGGGTTTTGGAAGATAACCGGTGTAGCTGGTGTTGGTTTATTATCAACTATAATCGCCGCGCCTATCGTACTTGGTATGGAAGTAGCAGCTGGAGTCCCAGGACTGGCAGGAATAGCGATAAAACTTATTTCTCGTAAGTTGCAAAAGAAATCATTAAAACATGATAATATTCAGATACTCGCCGAAGCAAAGTTGAACAGCACTGAGGATCATATTTCAACAGCACTGGCTGATTGTAAGATATCCGAGAAGGAGTTTCGTTTAGTGTTGTCAGAACTAACCAAATACAATGCAATGAAGCAGGAGATTTGATCCAATTCTCGTAAGACCAGTGGTATTTGCGAAGACGAGAAAAAAAAGTTCATAGAACAGGGGAGACAACAAGCGCGTCAATTATTCCGTGCCAAAACCAAAGAACTGGTTGGAGATTAAATATAGATTGTTTACTATCATTGGATCACATTTAAACGAATGCTTACATTAGTAAAAATGTTGAATATCACTTTGTTCAAAATAATGGTATGTCTATGAGAAATAATAGAGAATATTTTCATTACAATTTAGTATAGTCTCATGACGTTCGTTGAATCGCATCATCATTTTGACATAAAAAAAATCCCTCTGTAGTGGTGGTGTAGGTATATAAATCTGGCTCTTGTGGGGTTTTGGTAAAACTGTCATTGTCTATAAAAAATTATATCATAGAAGCATTGATTGGCTCCAGGTGGTGGTGAACTAGAGTCAATTTAGCTTAATCTCATGACGATCATTGAATCACATCATCATTTTGACATTAAAAATTCCCCCTGTAGTAGCAGTATAGGTATATAAATCTGGCTCCAGTGGGGTTGCGGTAGGACTGTCATTGTCTATACTACTAAGGTTGAAGCCTGATGAAATTATTTCTTCATAAATTAGGTGTACTACTGAGACTTGTTGTCCTGTTTTTATACATTTGAAAAAAGTTGAATGAATGTTATCAGACTATGTTAGGTCAATATTTGTCCAAGTGTAATTGATTTAACACTATTGGCAGTCATGATACATAGAGGCGTCTGTCAGTGATCATTTTTATTATAATAAAATCTGTTTCAGACCAAGCAAATGATTGAGAAACTCCAAGTCCTTGTGTCTTCTGAAGGAAGGTTCAAAAACATGCGAGAAGCTCTTCATAGGTATGTCATTTTATGTGTGTTTCTGCTTTTGTTTGTTTGTGTAGTCCAATGTTTAATGTGTTATCTGTTGATACAACTCAAAACTTCTGGGAATCACTTTGTACTTTGTATTCTGAATTCTGAATGAATAATTATGTTTTTGTTGTGTTCATTGTAATTCTGGGGGCACAGGTGGCACAGGTGGCCCAGTCGTCTAAGGTACCACGATATAACTGGAAAACTGTTAAAAGCAGCATTAAAAGCCCAACTTATGCATTGTAATTCCTGCTTTCTGATTAGCTGAATTGGTCACATGTTTATTGCATTTATTTTCCAATGAACATAAACAATTTAGCCATGAAGTAGACCTCTATCATCACTAGGTATGGAAATGTTGGAGAATTCAAATTACTGATGAGTGAACTCACACCTGTGTCATCATGAAGTTATCAGACCTAGCAATATTTTAGTGCTATTTTTCAGTAGCAAACATATCAACAACAAAGCAATACCACCATCTCCCACAATCACTGCTCAAATACCAGCATCACACAATCCTATGAAGTTTTGTTTGACATTCCTAGCCTTTTTTTAGGTACTTTCTTTGTGGGCATGTCAAGTTATGTGGAAATATGTAATAATCACCTCATTCATGTCACGCATCAGTATGTATTCCTATACCTGGAATGTTTATCAATCCAACCATATTTGTCTGCTTTGATTTAAATAATTGATTTTGATTAAACTATTATTGGTATCACATGTTTTCATTGTCAAATTAAATTATAAGGATTGACTGTATTTTAGGAGGTTCATTGAGGTATGAATTGTAAAGCCGATGTGGAGACTTTAGAACAAATATCTGTAGCTTTATGATTAAACTTACTCCATATGGTCTGTGGAGGAAAGTATTGATTATGATCCATGAACAAATACTTCATCCTTATTATTACATATACCAAAACAAAAGCTGCAAGCAGCATATTTATAATTAATATAAATGATTCATGTGTTTAAAATCTTTGTTAACACCCACACAGTAAGGAGAATAATATCAACAAGCATGTTAGTGAAGTCTTTGAATGGAATTTAGAAGTGATACACGTAAGGAAGAGAATTTGTGGATGTATACATCTTTATTATGAGGAACAATGTTTCTGAGTAAATACTTATTCCTTCACCTGATGAAGGAGTATATACATTAATTACAATGCCATGACAGTTTGGGACCCATATTCTTTGTGTATTCTTTGTTGAGCAGAGCTCTGCACTATTACATGTTGAGGCACAGAATGTGATAACATCTTCGACTCATCTTGCATCATTCTACAATTATGGTACTGTGGTTCTGATATTCAAATCCTCAAATCCTTCCAAATTTTGTAGGGGTATTCATCAGCAAAGAGCCACAAGAGACTAATTACAAATTTATTTACAAGAACAGAATAACAAAATCTTAAATAAATATAGCTGAGTATAACATCGGAGAAGGCGTTTCCCCCCAATTCCCACCAGGACCCTCCCATCACCACTGACTTGATTAAGTTGCTGAAGTCGTCCATGGTTCAGTCCATGCAAACCTCAATCACAGCATTGGTTGATAAATCTCCTTAAACTTTTATGGATCATTGTATAAAAATCCATGTCGGAATCTATCACCAATCTACGACAACAGGCTGCATCTCCAGACATTCAACTTGCTGATCTGTCAAACCACGCCTCTTTTCCCCACTCAGATTGCTGATTGCTGTAATAGCCAGGGATCAGGGAAGTCAATTTTGAGGTGGTTATCCCAGATATGTCAGAAAAACAACGATTGTCTGTTGCACCATGATACTTGTTTTTCTGTGCAGCCTCGTATTCCCGCCCACATGCCCATTGTTTACATGCAAGACAATTTGCTGTTTGCAGCTCAATGTGTGCAACTGAGGCTAAGAAATAAGAAATATGTGCCAGAGGCTACTGTTACACTCAAGGACTGCATGATTTCTGAAGGCATGGATCAAGAAGAGACCAGCGTTTAGTCTAACTATTTTGCCACAGGGGCCTGTCATGTCCTACTCCCTCTCCAAGTATCATACACTGATCTCCAATTGGAAATGCCACTCTCTATGACACTTGATCAAGTTGGGTTTGCTCATTCCACCTTGAGAGCATCCCCTCTCTGTGCAAGTTTGGATGTGCAGCCAGCTCCAACACAGATATGCCACCTGCTGGCTTAAGTTAGATAAAGGATATCTGAGCCCATGAAGGAGTCAGTTTTATCCCAACCACAATATTGGCGATGTTTGGCAAGACTAACTTGACTGATTCTAAACATCAACCAGAGTACCCACTAGCTTTTGAAACTGTCGTGTCAGTCCTGGTGGACTGGCAACTCTAAAAATTACCAGTCCCCCCTAATTTTTGCCAGTCCCCACTATCAACAAATAAAAAAATGTATGAAAATTATTTGGTTTTAATTCTTTCAACATCATGTTCAGTGCAAAGATGTCATCTCTGAAGTAACTTAGTTAGATCTATATGTCATTCACACAAACTTCAGTCACAATTTTCTCTCTTTTTTTTTAATATTTTGAGACAAAGTCACTACAAATGGATATTTAACCTAGAAGTAGACAAGGGGAAACCCTGATGGTAACAGACAAGCTGACTTTGTTAAAAAAATGTACTTAATTGAATATCACCAATGTTTTGTTCAACAACAAAGATATAAGGTACTTTATTTGCCGGTCCACAGGGACTGGCAGTCACATGAATTACCTGTCCATGCCTAATTTTACCGGTAAAAATCACCTTTTGAAGTCATGTCAACTGGAAGAAGTCGAAGAGCCTGGCACTTTCCCAAAGTGGAATTTGTATGTTGTTCTGCTTGAATGGAAGCATCATGTGAGCTTATACATAAGGCAACTCTTTTGCAAACCTCCAAGAAGTCTGCCTTTAAGCTTTTTATTGCAACAGTGGCTGGAGTGTCAGAGTTCCATGCCATTGACTTTTCTCACTCACTCATGCACCAGATTTGAGTCGAATCACTCTGCAGGCTCCCCCAGAGTTCAATGGCAAAAATCAGATCATGATAGTTATTGCCTTTGGTGTATGTTTTTGGACATGGTGCACTGTATCCCCAAATGTGACAGAATTTCTAGATAATCTCTCTTGATACAAGGATGACTTTTCACATCTATCATAAGGTGGATAAATATTTTGATTGAGTTAAAAAGTTGATGTCTTTATGACCCTTGTTTGGTCTTTTGAACCTAGTGGCAATTTCTTGGAAATGTTGACAATTTGAATACAGTATTTAGTGATGACAATGTTATCTACTTTGAAAGCCACCATCAAAAAATTTTATTTCAGAGAGGTAGGTTAATGGCCATTTGTTAAGTAAACAATGCTGTTGGCAACATGATAAACTTGTCCTCTCAAAAAGTGTTTATCATGGAGTTAGAATGGACACAATCTTCAAACAATTGGATCAAGCATAAGTTTTTCAAGTTCCCTAATGATAAAATCCATGTAGCAAGATTAAAAGTGGATTCAGCAATAAATCAGTGTTGATGACATTATTAGCATCAGACTGTATATTTCAATGCTATGTAGACCACCCTTGGTTGCTGTTGATCGTAAGTTCATTTTATATTTTCGTTACTTCTCAATGCGCTTATACTAGTGCTAAGTCAAATCTGTCACACTCTAGTTATTATACCCCCGTTTACGAAGTAAATCGGGGGTATATAGCGTTCCGTTGGTCCGTCCTTCCATCCGTCCTTCCGTCCGAGCTTTTGTACGGCCCATAACTTTTAAACCATGCACCCTAGCTGCACCAAACTTGCTACACACATTTTCCACAATGAGTACATGTGCCTTTTGCTAGTTTAGATTCTGAACTTTTTAATTTTTGCCATTTCCATGGAAACATTAAGAAACTTAAACTTTTAGGGTGGGTGTTTTGTACGGCCTATATCTTTTTAACCATGCACCCTAGCTTCACCAAACTTTCTACACACATTAACCACAATGAGTACTTGTGCCTTTTGCTAGTTTGAAGATTCTGAATTTTGAATTTTTGCCGTTTCCATGGAAACATTAGGAACTTAAACTTTTAGGGTGGGTATTTTGTACGGCCCATAACTTTTTAACCATGCACCCTAGCTTCACCATACTTGCTACACACATTTACCACAATGAGTACTTGAGCCTTTTGCTAGTTTGAAGATTCTGAATTTTTTTATTTTTGCCGTTTCCATGGAATCATGGTGAACATGGTGAAACATAAATTTTGGGTAGAGTTTTTGTACGATCCATGTTTACAATATTATGTATTCTAGCTTCAGCAAACTTGCTACATTAACCGCTATGATTGTTTTTTATCTTTTATAACATTCTGAAAGTTTTGTCTATTGCTGTTTCCTTGGAAACATGATGGAATTTAGAAATTTTGATGACTGGTTTTGTATAGCTAATATATTTTAAAAAATTGTTTCCACACATGTAGATCATCATAAGTATCTGTGCTTTGTGATAGATTGAATTTATGAATTCTTTACCATATCTGTTCAGGCTAGATGGAAATTATTAATTTATTGATTTTCTTATATGATACGTTCCATTTTTTATGTGTTTTTATATCAACAATTTTTGTTCCTTTTGATCATTCTTCAATCAAATTTTTATTCAAAGGTGTTCATGGTGATCTACTTCCTCGTAGTGAACACTGGTAACCTGGGAGATGGGGGGAGGGGGGGGGGGGGGGGCAATTGTCACTGGAAATCAATCTTAGTTTTTAAAACATTGAAGTTAAAATCAGTTAGAAATATGTAATATTTCATTAATTAACAAACTATTTACTTTTTGTTGTTGACCAGCGGGGATAACGGGGGTATGTGAGCTTTGCTCACTTCTTTCTTGTTGTGATGTCCGTCGAAAACAGGTTTTTGTACAGTCTAATTATATTTATTATTCATGTATAAATTGTTCTTGTCAGGACATGGCTGAAATATTGCAGATGTGATGTTAAATTT